TTCCTATCACATATCATATGTATGAGAGACACAGTATTGACTATGTTTTCCAGGGCTCGCCTTGTTTCTGAGGGAGGAAAGCCTTTCAGTGCTATAAATGCCTTGTTACTATAATCTACCATCATTGCCTGTACTCTAGCAATACTATCCTTATCAATATACTGATGAAGTTCCTTGCTTTGCTCTTCATAAGCTTCAATGTCATCTTCTGATTTCACTCTGATAAGTGTTTCAACAAGGTCTTTTACTTTTTTCTTGTGTAAAGATAAGATAACAGGGACAGTGTTTATGTTTATACTTGCCTGTGGATCTTGTAGAGACTGGCTTTCATCCTTTAGTTGGTGGGCAAAAGCAATGTTATTCCCAAATTCAAAGGCCTTTTCTTGTAACTGAAAGGGAAATTCTCAATATTTTAGCAACTGCTACCATACATCTTTTCTGAGCTAAAAAAAATGGAGTATTGTGGTCTAGGGGGTGGCATGGGTAGCGTAGTGGTTTATCACTCACCTCTGGCCCCAGTGGTCTGGGTTCGAGCCCTGGCTCAGACACAATCATATGTGAGTTGAGTTTGTCTAGTGTGTTGTTCTATCCCATTGCCACAAGGGTTTTCTCCCGGTTCTCCAGTTTCCTCCCTCCATAAAAATCAACATGTGAGTTGAGTGTTGTATGTTGTAAATATAGAATATAGAATGGTAGTGCGTGTGGAGGGAACCTCATGGAATGGCCCTGAATGGGGAGTGGTGGTTATGAAATATAAGGTTTTTTACAAGCTTGGTTGTTTATGAAACTAAATAAGGCCCATTGTATTGGCCATGTTTGACCATTGTCACTTAGAGATAGTAATAGTTGTCTAAATCCTACTCCTCCTTAGACTGAAAGGTCTGTTTTAAAGTGTATTTAACCTTATCTGCACTCTGGTGTAAGTTTTGAATTGCAAAAAATTTCCCTTGTATTGCATGTTAAAATTGAAATTTAGACTGAAATACTTCTTTGGCTTAACCATAATGTTTTCTCATTTTCCCCCGGGTGTCATTTTGTAGTATCATTTCTTTGCTTAACAGTTTTGCATGAGAATTAGTCGACAGATTGAATATGGATATAACTAAAACAAAACTTCTTATCCTGAAGGGAATACCATATGGTTTGAAAGAGAAAAACATTATGCCCAAGGTAATTAAGTGGTCTATTGAGTGCTTGGAAATAATTGGAAATGTCTATATTTGTTCTGAAGCTATAAAAAGACCAGACAAAGACTTATAGACAAAGCAAAACATAGGGTATAGYGCCAGTTATATGGGTCTTTAGGAAGTGGTAACTTTCATCCTTGGAAGTAAAATAGCAAGATGTTTTAGTAATAAGCTAAGCAAACTCATCACATGACTATGATGATATGCTGTTGTTCTTGTACCACTACGGCAGAGCAGAAAAACGACAAGGCTGCTACTTCCACGATTTTTWAATTTAACTGGCAGTGATACCCCAAAAATTTAATCATTTCATTCACATCATTGTTGCTCCGAACTTCTTTCAATCTAGACAAAATCTTATCGAACTTGTAAAAAGACTTGTAGACAAAGCAAAAAATAGGGTAAATACAAGAATAAAAGAGTCCCACGATTTCCTCACCTGACTGGAGTGGTTCATTAATTTGAGAACTGCTTGACAGCTGCTAGCCAAAAGGCTTGCTTTAGACTTAAAAACAACTTGCCGCCAGAACTCTAGTGATAAATCTTTAACACTACGATGATTCTTCATTGCTTGCCCTTCCATCAGATCACCAATGACCTYTGATATCATATCAACAACATGTGTATTGTTTAATCGAGCCAATCCTGTGCAAGCGCTTGCAAGTAAAAAATCCCCTGTCAGCACAGACATCTTGTTGCCAAATTCCATGTCTTTTAGTTTCACTAGTGGTGATAGGGATTCCAGGTTTACTACTCCACAGTGGATAAGATAGGCTGGATAAAGAAGAAAATCACTATTTGAGTTACTCTTTTACTGAATCACTAGAAGATATTTACCTTCCTAAGTCTGTCCGGATCGGGATAAACTAGTTATGGCCAAGGTCTGGAACATATAGCTTGATGCCATAGACAGAGGTTTGTTTTCCAGGCCAAGGGCAGAATAGACCAGTTTCGAGTTCCAAATTACCGCTGTGTTCCTTGATTACAGACTCATTTACTCAGGGYTAGCCTCATATCAGTGTCTAAATATTCACAAATACCAACAGTAAAGTAAAGAATGCACAATTTTAACAATACAAACACTTTGAAATTCCACGGACCTTCRCAGAAACACATGAGTATTCTACACAAAATTGAGGCTAACCCTGAGCAACTGAGAACTCAAAACTGGAGTATTGACTCTAAGATGGTAGCTAAATTATTTATTTTATCCCTGTTTACTTTTGCACTTGTTTTTATAATCATGTTAAGGTAAGCTCAAGGTGAGCTCACTCCAACAACCAATCAGAACACATAATTTTTTGATACCGCAAAGGTAAAAAAGAAATARTATCCAAGGGAATAGAATGGGAAATGAAATGAGAAAAGATTGTGCCCGAAAAGGATGGGAACTTAAAATATAGTACACTAGTATGTATAAGACTGAAAGTTGGGAGCCAAAACTAAAGCTTCCCTCTCCCAGCCTCTGCGCATAAGCCAGCCACACATATATACCTGTATTGATCATTTCAGTAATTTCAGCAAGCTGTCGTTGACCAGAATAAATCCCTGACACAGCCTCCTGCTCAATACTAACATCATCACTAGATAAATAAGGTGCTGCAGCCTTAGCAACAAGGAGTACAAGCAGCCCTCGTGTCTGCATACCATAGTGACCATCATAGACGAAACCCCTAGCAGTCTTCAACAATGGATGCTTACTCCCTACTAATCTCTGCATGTACATGGCTAYATTAGAAAGTTCATCGCTTAACAAACACCGTAGGCTTAGAAAAGACGTTGGATAACCGACTAGCTTTTCAGCTTCTGATAACGCTTGAGTTAAATCGTCTTTTCTTGCAGACCACAAAAGTCTTGATGGAAAAAGTCTTGATGGAAGAAGTCTTGGACATCTCTCACGTGGATGCCCCAAAAATCTACCAGATCTTTGAAATATTTGCCTTGCTGAATCGGACCTCATTTTACTGGYATCCTATCCAAGGCAGCCTGGCTTATTTCATTAAGATATTACTAATTACCCCAAATTCTACAGAAAATTAAACGCACAATTTTGAACAAAAAWTTTTGAATGCTGCATAAGTTTGAGCCAGTCGTACTTGCAATCAGCGGAGAAATAACACAGGAACCCCAGTTTCACGAAATTTGATTTTTTTTGGGATGTAAAAAAGTAAAATATGATAGGTTTTTGGGTGAAGTTTTGAACTTATGATTCTTATGTACGTTGTTTGTTGATTATCATAATGAAATGATCGAGAATATCGTAAAAATTTTATCTTTAAAATATTTTTTTCGACATAAAAAATTTTGCCAAACAAAGTTTAACCAGAAAAACAAAATTCACTGAAAGAATCTTGTGTGTCCGTTGTTCTTTCTGTTATTTTTAGAGATAGAAAAAGCTTTCTCTTAGGAGACGATTAGGTCATATTTCCAATTAATATCACGAAATTTAATCTAAATTCTAAAAATAAAATTTTCGAGCCATAAAAGGAAAAAAATACGAAAAAATGTGAAGATTTTGTTTTTTTATGCTTTATTTCCGCTTTCCCTACTAAATATTCTTACATCATCCTTGAACTCATTTCCAAAAATAATTTCCATTTGACCCCTCCCCGGCTAGAAATATTCGTACTTGAACACATAAAACTTCTCCCCACCCCCGTGGGGATATATATGTTTATGAGTAAAGCCGCTGCTTATTTATGCGCCTTCAGTTCGGCGCGCAAACTGAAAAAAACTTTGACAAAAACTTAATAAAAATATGACGATTTTTCTTGCTTTAAGTTTGAAAATACACAAATAAGACTGATAATTGGATGTAAATCGTAAGTAGAGACGATTCATCATGCCTTCGGCAAGAAAAGGCGAAGAAAGCGATCGGAATTCTGGTTCAAGTGTCGTGACGTTGGATTTGTCAGGTTAGAGTCAACAAACTACATAAACCTTGTGGTTCTCGTAAACTTTATCTTTATAATATAAACAAAATACATGTTAAAGACTAATCTCTTAATTCATCATAAGTATACTGTTAATTCAATCAAGTGTTATTAAAATCGCACTTTTTAGTTCAAATCCTAAGTGTTTTGCTTCATGTTAAATTTTGGAAGAAAAAGTGCATTGTACATAATGACGAATACAAACATTGCATTCCTGTTGTTATAGACACGATTTATAACACTCTTTTTCATCATTATACGTACATTTTAACTGTATTAGCTTCTAAATAAAGCATTTTCTTATTAACCGAACAGATATTTTTTTAAAGCTTTACTAAATACACCTTTTGTACAGTTGTTGCTGGCTGTGTTGTTTGCTTGGCTGTGGGTATTTTTTGTGTTAGTTGGAATTTTTTTGTACTGTGTTTCAATTTTAGCGTTTAATCTCTATAATATCTCACTGGACTATAAATATTTTACATGATTGCTTCCTGCTATTCTTTAGTTACTAATGATATGTTTTGAATGATCCCAGGACGGAGTCTAAGGAGGATAGAGCCACTGCCTGATGGGATTTCTCCACAAACCATTCTCTATAATAACAATAACATATCAAGAATTGAGAATCTCCAGTTTTTTGCTCACCTACAGCAGGTATATTATTCTTCAATAAAGACAATATTAATCTTTTAGGCCCTTTTTACATGGGAGGATGATCCTAAAAGCAGATCTTCCTTGCAAGCAACTTCCAATCAAACATGAGTTCAGTTACATGAAAAACAAGGTGTGAACTTTATCCCTGGTGCTAGGATCTTTCTATCTGTGAAACAGGAAGATCCTACTGCTAGGAATATCCTTGTACCTGAAAGAAGCCTCAGTGCCAAATGTGCATGTAAACAGAAAGTAATAAAATAATATAATTATAGCTGGTACATAGGCCTTCAGGGAAGATCCAAGTCTGCAGAGCAGGTGTTYTTTTGATGGGTTTGAGAGGAAGAATCGGGGTTTTGGGGTTCATGTTTCAAATCCACAAGAACGCCTGCTTTGCAGGCTAGGAAGATCCTAGTTCTAGGATCATTCCTCCTCCCATGTAAACATGCAGGGCCTTAGTTTAAATAAAATAAGAGTTCCAATGTTCCACTTAGCCTACCTTGTCCTATCGCCTGCGGTGTTACAAGAGAAGAGAGAAAGTCTGCATACCTGAAAGCCATTGTCTGATTTGCGAGTAGGCTGTTATCCATGTGCATTTGATAGGTCAGAGAAGAAATGTTTGTTTTGATTGATCATCCATGCAAAGGAAGGTGTCATTTTGCACTGAACTTTGCTCTCGTGATCATTGGTCATTAAAGTAGGTGGGTCAGCCATGCTGCTCCATGGACAGCTACTTAATTAATATCAATGATTTTTGGTCAGGCAGTCTTTCGCAGGTAGTCTGTCACCTTCCCTTTTTTGCAATGCTGCAGACTTGCTGCGCAACGCAGTCTAAAGTTTCCCTATATATTCATAGCTTTCACTGGCCAATAATCACTTGGTTGAGATGACAGGAATATCACATGCACAGGGGCTGAAGGTGCTTGATCTGAGCAATAACAGCATCATAACTATTGAAGGTTAGATATTATCAATCCTTATTAAACAATTACTCTTTACATCCAAATGCCTCACAAGATGTGTCAAGTAAAATTACTTCAGCACAAGTGGAATGAATCCAGAGACATTTAACTTTAAGAATTAACATATTTTTCGACACTTAAAGTAAGGTGTAAAAATGTAGGATTTCTGCAGTAACATGATTTCTGAAGTATTGTTTTTAGTACTGTTTAAGGAACTTGATTAAAAAAGATTTATATGTTAAGTGTATGCTACATCGAGTGTATTAAGCAGATTAAAAAATCTGCCTCAGTTGGGTTCTTGCAGGACCCAACAGGAGATGGGACGAACAATGTTCAGGACCCGCTCGGAATATCTGTTAATCAACAGAATTTTTATTAATTGTGAATTTATGAAATGTGTTTTTGTCACTAACATAATTATAGATCTTTACCAAGTGACAAAAACACATTTCATAAAAAGGATTTGTTTTAAATTTGAAACATGTCCCTAATTTTTAAGAGCTCACACACCTCAGAAGTTTAGAGTGGCTCAACTTATCAGGAAATAGCATCAAGGTACTTACTGTCATGTAAATGAATATTGAATGTGTATTTATGTTGCAGGATTTTTAGTTTTGTTGTATTTAGAGGATAATTTATCTTACTTTGGGTTTTATGTTAATTTGTTTAGAGAATTCAAAACTTGGAAAAAAACATCAATTTGAAGCACCTTGACCTATCAGATAACAGGTTGGTCTATAGCATTAAAATGCTTACATAATGTGGGAGTGATCAGTATCTGCATTAACTTCATAACGACAGTATGGCACAGCACAGCATAGGCTCTGTTTCAGCCAAGTGGTTAATAATTGGGACGTAAGTTCTGTTCCTTTCTCCCGTCACATCCCATTTATTTGACTTATTGTGCTAACGTGTCCATTATTATTTTTTGTACATTATTTTTATTTTGATGACAAACTCATTAAACTAAACTAAACTAAACTAAGGTTGTCGTTGGTGTTCACCCACCCACCCACTGAGTGGGGAGAGGATAGTGGCCGCACCAAAATAACCATGGCTGGAAATCAAGCCTAAGAAAAGCAACAAAACAAAAGAAAGCAAAGCATAGCACCAGCACAGCAAAGCACAGCACAGCACAGCACAGCACAGCACAGCTCAGCTCAGTTCAGCAAAGCACCGCACAGCGCAGCACAATCCCTTCAATTCGATAAGATCGTAACAGTTATGACTCATAGATATCTTTTTTTAGCATTATCAAGATAAGCAACCTTAGAAACCTCACCAAGCTGAAGGTAATCTGAATTTATTATTATTTTTTGTACAATTTTTTTGTATTATTAACTAGTAACTTTACAACATTAGCGCTGTGTTGTATCACATTTACATCACGAGCCAGAGGACTCCTTGTATTTGGGTACATGATTTCATTTTGCATTGAAATTTTAAAGATTTAGTTAGGTTTTGCTGAGAAAATCCAAGTTAAAGTTTATGCAAATGAATAGGATTTTGTATCAGGTATACAAAACTCTGCATGGTTATTATAAATTTGCATTGTACTGTTTTGTTCATGAACTATTAATGAGTTAAATAAAAAGGGAGAGAGGGAAGACATGAACAGTATTTTACTTTTATATTCAAGGTTCTTCTTCTCCATGGTAACCTGATATCATCACTGAAAAATGTGGCTGAGAATGTAGCTGAATCCAGTATCGTTACCCTGTCACTGGCTGAGAATGAAATATCTGACTTGAATGAGGTAAGTATTTATTTCAATCATATTATCCATCTATCCCTCCCTCCCTCACTCCCCCCTCCCCCTCTATCCATCCCTCCATCCATCCATCC